TCTTTAGTGTATCATCACGACTTTTTGATAAGGACTCTGAATAATATTCATCTCCTACGACGCAATGCACGTTTTGGAAATGTGGGTCTCGCAAAACCAGCTAAAGGATCGGTTACTTTGCAGATCAACAATTTCCACGTACCGTCTGAGGCCAACTGGTGTCCCACCTCACGTTCACTTGTTAGTGGCTATTGAACGTCAAACAGAACAGCTAAAAACATTAACTGTTTCCGTTAATGGCGTGGCCCCTGCAGTTATATCACTGATGAAAAGTGAGATGCCTCTCCAATTTGACATTTTTTCATCTCAAGCTTTGGACACTAGCATTTCCCGAGCTCTTAATAGGTGTGGAATTGTGGATTTGGTTCATTCAGCTCGATTTAATTTTCAATTACAGCATGATAATCTCCCGGAAGCTGAAAATATCACAGAAACTGAGGGAAGCACCGCAGTTCCCGCTGTAACAAGATTAGGTGTGGCTGAATCCCGTTTGACTCGCGTACCATCCAATTTCGTAATTCCGAATATGTCACTAGAATGTGCCTGGGAGCACTGGTGTTGTGGAGATCCGCCCGGGCAATATGGTCCATTTCGGTTTTTACAATGGCACGATTTTTCTGACAGCAAAAAGCGCAAGCGGCTTTCTCATTATCGATGTATGATGATGGAAGTGCAAACAAGAGCCATGGCCAATTTTTATTGGTATGAACGGCCGACCGTGGAACAAGCACGTGCCATGCTAGTCAACGTGCTGCCAGAACTTCCTATTAGCGACGTTACTGCAAAGAATCGACAGCGCCGCAAACAACAGCTCAAATGGTCCAGTGTACTGCAAGAAATTCGTGAAAATCGCCGTAGAGTTAATAATTAGCCAGTATTTTCTTCAACTTATTAGTTTCAGTGTGTACAAACCTGGTATGCGCTTACAAGGATATTATCTTCGTTAGATCTTGCCTTTCACGACGCTGTTGTTCATTAATGCTTTTGGTGAGGTTAACGAAGTCTGTTGAGTAGTTTCTGCGCCAGACGCAGACAAATTCGTAACAACTGTTGATTGCCCCCTAATATATAGCGGTTTGTATAGAAGCATTTTTGGCTACATGAACGTCAGAAGCAGAACAAAACGCAGACGTTTTGACACAAATCAATAGAGTGACGCATACAAGTTCAGGAGAATTTGTTGTGCAATCATCAACGCTGACTTCAAAGTATGCGTTGCGCAATCAATTATTGAAATCAATATATTGTATTATTATCGCCCCCAATACAATGTCAGTTTTGTATTTCAATATTTTAATTGTAGTTGCTATTATGTTGGGGTGATATTGTGAATTCCGTCCAAATTTGCCGATTCGATTTGGGTCTGTTTGAGGAGCGGGAGGACACATCGCCCACATACAAACCCAAGTCATTAGTAGAACCCACCAAGTCTTTTCTTGCCACCTTATTTCGTTCTTAAACGGGTCAGTATACGGAATTCTAAACGCTGGGCGATTTGGGGGAGATTCATTCAAAGAACCACCCATGACAGTTTTGAGTAGAACTCACAATATTGTGCCTTTCTGCCAAAACGCCCACAGTTTTATGGTCCTACGTAGGAGTGTGGCCCTTACGGAA